TACCAGTTGGAAGAATCTACTATTGGTATTGTAACCTTTACTTAATATGTTATTACGTATATAAAGAAGTTAATGAATCCTATTGAATCAGTCATCTGTGTGTTTTCTGGATTTGAATTTCTGCTGCAAAATCTGACAAAAGCAGATTACATGAACTTGGGACACAGCCACAGTCGCAAGTATGAACCATATCTGAATTTTGATCCCATGATCATTGGGATGCTGGAACGATCATAACTATGATAAATGGTTACTTTTGCCAGCGGCCATTGTAACTTTCAATGGGCACTAAACAAACTGTTGTAAGTCGAAGGACTTCCTGCAGTTTGCCTTAAGATGTCTCTGCATGAGATGGCTAAATCCTCAAAGTTTGTCTATTCTTCCCTGTCTGGATTCACCCAGACTATTATTCAAACTTGAAAGCCAGAAGGCAAAGGCTGAAGGATACAGTTCTTGGATCAGCTATTTTTATTGCAGATACCAAAAAAAAAAAAAAAAAGCCATAATTAGAGCAGAAAACCATCAACTGTCAATTTTGAGTCCCCAAATTTAAGTACGGCAGTCCAGAGGTGCAAACTTCATATCTCTTTTCTCTTCAGAAAAAGATGGGAAAGAGGTAATTTCTCAGTGAGAATGACAGTTGAGAACACTGCATAGTTATAATAATGGACCTGTCTGTCTCAGGCTTTTCTGTCTGGCTTTTGGCCTTCTAGACCTCAAAAGTCCTCTACTCTAACACAGCATCAGGGACACCAAAAGATCTTGTTTCCTATTTTAAACTAAGAACAGCTTTCTTACATTTTAACTTGGAGCCCTCCGGCTCATTTAAACCAGAGATGCGTAAAGTTTTTCTTTTTCTTTTCCCCCAAGCCAAAAGACAAGCTTGGTTTTGAGTAGTATTCTAGGGGCTACATTCCAGAGTCTGGGTAGGGCAAAGACAACAAAACAAAATTGCAGTTTTTTTTTTTAAAAAAAATAATGAACTACAAATGTATACCGCTCTCCTCCCACGTGTTCCCTCACTTCCCCCCTGTGATGAATTCAGGATTACAATTCTCTGTCTTTTTGTTGTTGTTGTTGGCTTTATGCAGTGTTTTGTTGATCGTTGAATGGTGAAATAAAATTAAAAAGAACAAAAGTTCACTTTTGGCAGCAACTGGAGAGAGAGAGAGAGAGAGAGGGAGAGGGAGGGAGAGAGAGAGAGAGAGAGAGAGAGAGAGAGAGAGAGACTGACTCTTGGGGCAATAGCCAAAATTTTAGAGGGCCACTTATATACCTAAGACCACAGATTATGCACTGGCTTGAAATGGGTCATGAGCTAGTTAAAATTACAAAGAAGGGTGGGAACCTCTCACTGGAATGAACTTTGCTTTAATTGGAGTTTTGCTGTCTCTGGAGGACATGGGAAATGGCGGTGAGTTTAAAAGTTGTAGCGTTTTAAGCTTGCAGCGGCACCAGGAAAAGGAGAGGAAAATCCAAAAAGACAACAACGATCATGTTTGTCTTGGCTCAGACATTAAGACCTGTCTCTTCACCCAGACCTTTGGCGAGGGAGGGCGAGACATCTCTTCATTCCATCAGGCCTCTTGCGATTGCTATCTTTTTAAAAATCTTCTATTGATTTTATTGCAATTTCTTTGTTTGTTGTGAGCCATCCAGAAGAGTTGGGAGTCAGATGGCACACCAGCTTCAACAATAACAACAACAAACTAAGGTTCACCCATGACATCTTGGCAGGCTGAGTACAGCTGGTCCTCAACTTACGACCCAGTTAGGACCAGAATTTCTGTTGCTAAGCAAGGCCGTTGCTAAGTGAGTTGCACCCAATTCTACGTTTTTAGCTATGGTTGTTAGGCAAATCACTGCAGTTAAATGAATAGCACTAGAAGCAATAGTACTTAGACTTATATACTGCTTCATAGTGCTTTACAGCCCACTGTGATGACCCAGGGTGGGATACAAAATCAACACAGGCACAAAAACAGGTGAAGTCCCTTTAATTCCTTCAGCTTAGCTTCAAAGCTCCAAATATCCTTGACTGGAGACAAAAAACTCCCCCACAAACAGTTGGAAATGCTGTTTAAACTAAAAATACCTATAAATTATAACTAGAACAAGACAACACAAACCACACTGAAGCAAGCAAAGGAACCAGGCAAGATAAGGGCTTGAAGACATCCACAGATATTGGAACACACACTGGGAAGGATCCCAAACTCAGGTAAGAACAGACAGACTTGAAATATTTTCACACTTTGTTTCCAGCACTGGCTCATGCGCAGTCCATCCTTTTAACCAGTTCTCACAGCTGCAGCCCATGAAGAGGATCAGGGCCCTTTCCTCCCTCATAGACCACACCATTCACGTCTCTCCCTTATCCTCTCCTCCCTGCGTGCCCTAGGATGGAGAGGGGATGGGCCTGGGTCCTCCTCTGACTGCCCAGCCAGCCTGTGCCCTTCCCCAGCCTCCTCCACAACCTCCAGAGCCACACTTCCACTCCCTGTCAGCTGTTCCTCCTCTCCCTCGGATTCAGTCTCTAACAGGGGCATGACACCCACTCTAAGTGGTATACAGAACCAGTCTGTTGCCCCCTACAATCTGGGTCCTCGTTTTACCAATCTCGGAAGGATGGAAGGCTGAGTCAACCTTGAGCTGTTCAGAATCGAACTCCTGGCACTGGGCAGAGTTAGCCTGCAATACTGCATTCTAACCACTGCGCCGCCACAGCTCTAAGCACCAAATATACATCAAAATCTAGGGTTCCAATGTGAAAGGACAACAATCAATAGGAAAAAGTATTTCAGGAGCAGATCCTGTGTTTTGGACTATTCTATCTTGCAGTCCCAATTCCAGCTTCCCCATTGACTTGACTTGTGGGAGGTTGCCTAGGAAGATTGTAAACGATAATCAATGACCCCCTGGACAGTGCAAACATCGTAAATACATGCCAGATGCCAAGCCAAATGCCCAAATTTTGATCATATGATCCTGGGGATGCTACAATAGTCATCAGGGCAAGGACAGATCATATCTCACTTTGTTCAGTGCCATTGAAACTTTGGACAGTCATTAAGGATCATAAATCAAAAACTTGTTGTATGCATTGTTTTAGCTAAGCCTCTTTATGTCTGTAGAGATTTCTCAGTTATCCATGGTAGACCCAAAGGTGTTTTTTTCAGGAGGCAACTGGACTTCCTTGTTTATTCTTTGAAGACATTTCACTTCTCATCAAGCAAAACATCTTTAAAGAAAAAAGAAAAACAAGGAAGTCCAGTTGCCTCCAGGAAAAGCACCTTTGGCACAGACAGCCATGATCTGGATGACTGAAATTTTTTTACAGATCTTTAGCTGTACAATTTGGGATGAACACCCTTTGAATGGTGGGGGAGTAGGAATGGATTTCCAGAGGGAACAATTGCAGACTACAGGAACCGTTTGCACTACTCAGGTGACCCTGAGGACACAGATAAACCTCCAAGTGGCTTCAACAACCCTCTAAAAGGATGCAAATGGCCAGCTGTCTGCAAGGAATATAAATCTTTCCATTCCCCACCATCCTGTCAGAGCAGAAGAAGCTTCTTGGATGAGAAGCGAAACGTCTTCAGAGAAAAAAAAACAAGAAAGTCCAATTGCCTCCTGAAAAAAGCACCTTTGGGACAAGATTCTTTATGCTTTAGTATAAAGAATCACAGAAGGAACAAGTTAGAAGGGACTTCCAATCTATGCCAACCCCTGTCTCTCTGAACTTCACTAAACCAATCCTGACAAAGGGCCTTAGGACCTCATTTAGTGGAGCAAACTATCTGTGAAAGCTTCCTTTAAAAAAATATTTTAAAAGCTGCCTTCGGATTCAAGAAACGAGGAATGCAAAGCCTTGAGTTTGAAATCCCAGAGAGGTTGTTTGCATGGCACCTACAATATGTCAAACGGATGGGAAGGAGCTCGGAGGAACGCCAAGCGTATAAATACTGCTTTGTCATGCTGTTCTTTTCAAGCAGAGCTCCTGGCCCAGATTGTGCAAAGACAGAACAATAAAGCAGCAGTAATAAATGGTTAGGGAGTTTGTCACGATGTAAGACAGAAAGATGGTAGTCGCCCTGGTGCATTTCCAAGAATACACTGCAGGATTGTGATTCCGCTCACCCAGAGGAAAAATTATTCTTGTATTCAATCCATTCTATTTGGATAGTTCTACCGATTTGCAGGTGAGAGTACAAATTTGAAGCTCAGCTCAATAAAGAAGAATATTTGTAGCCCAGGATTGTATTGAAGGGTCCTTGGTGCTCTCTGAGCTTGGTTGTTTTCTTGCAGATGTTTCATTACCCAGCTAGGTAACATCATCAGTGCTAGTAAGGAGTGAGATTTGGGAGGAGGGGGGAGGGAGGGAGGGGAAGAGGAGGTTGTCTTGGTGGTCTCTGAGCTTGGTGCTTTTCTTGCAAATGTTTCATTACCCAGACTAGATAATATCATGAGTGCTTATCTATAGATAGATAGACTAGCACTGATGAATTACCTACCTCATGAAACTTCTGCAAGAAACAAGCAAGCTCAGAAAGCACTAAAGACCCCTCATGCCCAGCACAACTACCAGTAACTTCACATAAATATTGTTGTACCAATACCCCAAATAGTTTGTTATTAGTGTCTTCTGAAATTCCCTGATGTCTCCTCTTCAAATCCTAATCAATGCAATGGGCTGATCAGCTAAAGAAAATGCCTCTGGTTAATAAAGCAGCACATACATAGGTGTGTATAAGTGTGCGTACATGCACAATGTGCTCACACAGACACCACTCCAAAAATGTTTAGCTTGTCAGAATTGTAAGGGACACTCTTGGGTATTTTTACATTTCGTTCCATGCTCTTTGATATTAAACACTTGCAAATTAATGCATATCTGCTGAGATCACATGACTTTCCTTGTGACAATAGCAATGTCCTTGTGACAACTATTAAATATGCAAGGTATTCCTCGATGGAGCTTGTTTTTAAAAACTCACCTTGAAAATTTGCTGGGTCCTTCACCATCTTCATCATCAAAGTCCATTCTGGGAGAGGAAAAAAAAGAGTATGATTACAATTTTATCTCCATAGCTAGAAGAGTCTGCATGGATTAAGGAAAGGAAAGGTTAATTATGCATTATTTCTCACAGTGCCTCCCTTTCTGGTTTTTCCTCTGCTCATTAGTGATGCTTGTTTTACTTTCAGTTCTTCCTTTTTGTTAAGAGTTTATGAACCGTCCTGTCCCTTCTCTCCTGGGAGCAAAGCTAAAACAGCCAAACTAGGGTGTCTATAATTCTCCAAATATTCTGGACTCCAAATCCCATCAGGCTCAGCCTGCCTGGTCAACAGCAGGGATGAGGGAAACTGGGCCCTGACATCCATAAAACCATTATCTCTCCTTAATTTCCCCTCTCCATGCTATGGACTCTTTTTTCCTTAGCACTGCTCAAAAGCAGAATTGTTGGCCACTTTGAACTTTCACTGGTTTCTTTTCCATCCCTCCGATCATTAAAAGCAAACCAGAAGCCAAATGTTTCTGTTCTGGTGAAGTTATCCTGTTATTTGGCTGTTCTTGCTTTGTGTGTGTTACAGACAGATGATCTTCAAAAGCCTGCCCAATTTCTTCACCCGTTACTTTTCTGGTCACCTGGCCAAAAAAAACATGTCTTCCAGTTCTCATCTTAATTTTCTCTGCGAACAAAACTCCTCCATCACCACCATTGCTACCCTCCTAATATTACTCTATTTTTGTCATTTTCTTTGAGCTCTGAAGTCTGACAAAATTGTTTGTGGGTTTACTTGAAACTATGTGCTTTGCTTAGACCAAGGACCACTATATATACATATACACATACACATACATACATATCCCTAAATCACCATCCCAAATCTACCTTTAAGAAGTGAGAGTAAGGGAAAAGTCAGGAAGTGCTATTTCTCAATTAAAATTTTAATTTTGGTTAAATTATGACCACCTTTTTCCTACCTAATTCCACCATCATATATTTCTGAGTAACAGATGCAGGGAGAATGACTCTCATTTTCATTGAAATTAAGCTGTTCTTTCAGCTCTTCTTAATTTTTTGGTGTTTTGATGGTCCTTGATTGGTAGGGAAACAGTGACCTCTAGTGGTCACTTGGCTAGCTAATAAAATAAATAGGATTCACTGTCCACTTACTGTCCACTTCCTGATGGATCTGCATCTTCCACAAAGGGTAGAAATACGTGGGGATGCATTTTTTCCTGGATTTTGCAAACATCTTGCTTGATTAAATGGTTTAGGGAGTTCCAAAGCTATCAACTGTTTTGTAAATACTTAAATGACATTTTAAGACAAGATCTTACAAAAATATAGATTTTGAATTTTCGTTTTCTTTTCCTCTAAGGTCATTCAAGCTGCTCATCTTTTTCCATTTGCATTTAACTCCTCTGCAGATCAGCATATAAATTTGAAATCAAACCAAGGTTAAGCCTTCCATCTTTTACAAATATTCCCAATCATTTACCGTTCACAGCATTTCGTTCAGATAGATGTTTCGCTGGTTTGCAGTCCTTCAAAAAAGACTGTTCCTTCCACCATGAAATTTCACTGCATGTTATTTATTTGACACAAGAGAAAAAGAAAAAAATCCATACATCAAGAAATATGACTGCATCTAACTTTAGCTTTCAGTCAAAAACACAAGGTGGAAACTATTAATTCAAGAGTAAAAAACCTTTTTGCGCTTAGTGGCTGAAAATCATTTTAGAGAAGATGAAAGCTTCACGGCTGATTTTTTTCTTTTTCCAATCTTGTACGAGATTGATTCTGGCCATTGTCAGCATCTCTCAATACATTATGATACCGTTCATCTATCTTCTTTGGAATCATAATATTTGCGGTTTTACTTCATAACTTATTTTCAGAAATAGGTTGGCCTATTTCTTTCCAGTTGTGTGTGTGTGTGTGTGTATCCATCACCTAGGATAAAACCTTCCCTCATTGTCCTAGTATTTCCAACCTTTATTGGTGCATGATTTATCCATCTCGCAATACCACCTCTTCTTTTCCCTCCAAGTGTTAGAAAATTGATCAGAGAGTGACCTTCAAAGTGAAAACCTGTATACTAATGCAAAAGACGAACGATCCCTCCCTCTTAAATCCCTTTCCTTTCATTCATTCTCCATCCTAAATGAAATGTTGTTTGTCCAAAACTTGCTGCCATTTAGCATGTATCTGTGTTTAGGTATATCAGGTATGTGTGTGCTTGCATGAGACAGGGAGGGAGGGAAGGGAGGAGGAGGAGGGGAAGGAGGAGGGGAAGCAGAAGCAGAGAAGGAGAAGGAGGGGGAGGAGGACAAGGGGAAGAGGAGGAGGAGGAGGAGGAGGA